TATTGGGACATTCAGTAACCATCACATTTTGTAAACATGGGCATTGCAAGGTGGCATTTCCGGAATAAAAGCTTATTAGCCTCGGTAAGTGTTTCCGGAATAAATGCTAAAGATCCTAGTTTGAAGGCACATTAATGGCCTCAGACATGAAGGGGATTAACCTTGTAATAGTAGGATGAAACTCATTCACAATGAATCTGCAAAGCAGTAGAGGCGACCACAAGTACATGTCTCCAATGAATTCGACGACAATGCATGTATCTAGATAATTGAACATAGAGAGTCTGTAATTGTATGTTTAATTATTCTATGAATGTTTGAAATATGCTATTTTATGATCAAATCAATTTAACTGTTATATGCTCATTTCTTTTATTAACTAGCTTACCATCTTTTGTGCTTGTGCTATAGTGTTTGTTGTTCTTCTTTTGCAATTATCACTTTTATTGATGTGAATAGATAAGAATAGGTGTAGGGGCACCTTAGGAGAAAGACGTTGATGTAGTTGTATATAGGGCTGGGCATAGTTCACTTAAAAACTCTAAACTACAGTTTATCTATACTGTTTTATACTTAAAAAACTTAAACTATTTTTACTAAAAACCAATTATACTGTTTAATAGTTCAGTTTAAAAACCAATTACTAAAAACCAATTATACTGTTTAATAGTACAGTTAACTGTAAACTGTGGTTTAGGTCATTCTCTATCACAATTTTCTCCCCGCCTCTTACATCCTACATTGCTTTCTCAACTCTCACCCTGTTGAAAGCTTGCCGCCGTCCGAGGTTCGCCGCTGTCGAAGGCTCTCCGCCGTCGAAGGCTTTCCACTGTCGAAGGCTCGCCGTCGTTGAAGACTCACCGAAGGCTTTTCCACATTCTGTCGTCGCCAAACTGTCGGCTCTACCACCATCATCGAAGGTTCATCACCGTCGAAGGTTCATCGCCGTCGAAGGTTCGTCGTCGTTGAAGGTTCGCTGCCATCGAAGGTTTGCCGCTGTCTCTCTAATGTTGTGGCATTGCTACGTATAGCACCGCACAAGCTGAAATGCTGCCATTTCTTTGTTTTGGTATGTCTCTCTCCCTTTTCAGTGGAAAAGGTGGTACCTTTTTTTATGGAATTTTGATGAGTGTCTCTGTTGTTTTACTTGTGTGGAGTGGGAGAAACTGGGGTTCTTTTGTTTTTTTTCTGTTCGCGTGGTAAGTTGTGATATGTTACAGTGTATGGACCCATTTGTGCTGTTTCCTTAATGTTTGTTGTTGAAAAATTGGTTTTTTTTTTTGTGATTCTAGGTTGTTTCTCTTTGTTTCCTTTGGCTCGTGGATTAAGATTAAGGAACTCTTTGAAGATTAAGGTTCTAAATTATGGTCGCAGAGTCTATTTTTGTTGAGTTCTTGGTATTGCAGGAAATTGCAGCGTGGTTGTGGACTATTTTTTTAAAATCTTGTTCAAGGGTTTAAAAGATCTACAGACTCTTTCAAGGTTTCAAAAATGATTTGCAGATGCAATTGTGCCACAATTTCAAAGCTTTTTGGGGTCTCCAGTTATAAATGGAGCCGCATTTGTTCTATTTATTTAGTTTTCGGTAATGTCTTGGATTGTGACAAAACCATCACTATAGTTGCAATTTAGAACCTTGGACTTATGGTTTAGTTTCAAGTGAGGAGAGGAACTGGAAAAAAATAAAAATCATCTTTTTTTATAAGATAACTCTTAATTGGAGGGGAGGTATTTGAGTTCCTCATTTTCCCTTCCCTCTAAACCTTTGAAGCAAACAACAAATTTTATTCAAATCTCTCTCTCCTTCCTTGTTTTTATATTTGTGTTGTATGAGGATTGGATCCCATGAACTGTAGTTTAAGTCATTTATGCATAATATTGTTAAAATCTAAGGAAAAAAAGATAAAAAATGCTATTTGTATTGATTTCTTGATTGGTAAATTGGAATGAAACTATTGGTGTTTTAAGGAAAAATTTTAAATACATCATTAACTGTGTTGATCTTTAACCCAAACCTATATTATGCCAATTACTAAATTGAAACTTTAATTTTGATCAAAGAACACCAAAAGCACTAAGGAATTTCTATCTATGTTTTGTCCTTGGCATTATACTTACTTTATCTATTAATATTGGTTTTTCATTAAATTTCCTTTTTAAGTATTTGGTTGAGTTAAATTTTTAAGTATCTCACTTATCCCCATCTTTGTTAGCAATAACACTCAGTAGAGCTCAGCGCTGAAACACTAGAGGAGCAGGGTTCAGTATTGGAGAAAGAACTGAGCTTGAAAGGAAGGAAAACTCTTGATGTGTTGAAAGAGTTTGCTGGACCGTGAGCAGTATAATGCACTATAAAAATAGTTAACTGAACTGAACTGCATTATAAGTGAACTAAAAAATAGTTCAGTTCAGTTACTCTGAATTAGTGCAATGCAGTTTTTCTAAATTGGTTTATATATACTTAACTATAAACTTTTACAGTGCAGTACACTATAAGACAGTTTGCCCACCCCTAGTTGTATACATATAGGATCGTAAGAGCTAAGTTTAGGTTTTACCTTTTGAACACTTTGTAGTGTTGTGGTCAATATTTAGTTTCTTTGAAATTATCGATGTAAAACCTCTTATATGCTAATATGATTATTTTGGATAACTATAATAGTATAGTTATATGTCTTATTTTGATTGCTCATCAATTATCAACTTTGTAAAGTTTTATTCAATAGTATTTATTATACTATTAAATAGGATGCCCACACTAAAATAAGTTTTTTTAGTGATTATTTGTTAATGAGTTATCGTTATAATTTAAAGGACCATGAATTTGTGCATTGGGATATATGTAGGGATGGCAAAAAAATCCGCGCTCGCGGATATTCGTTGATAAAATTCCTGACGGATAGTTAGTACCCGCAGATATTTATTACCCGCGAGTTGCGGGTAGCGGGTTTTCTAATACCCGCTTATAAACGGTTGGGTGCGGGTATTATACTATCCGTACCTGCGGATATCCGCTACTCGCAAAAAATAAAAATAAAAATTTAATTTATATTTTATTAAGTTAAATTTAATTAAAATTAATTTATATTTTATAAGGTTAAATATAATTAAAATTTAATTTAATTTATATTTAATTTAATATATATTATGTTTTATATATTTTTTTGTAAATTTATTTATGTTTTATTATAATATTTTATAAAAATATATTTTTTTAAATATTTGCGGGTATCCGCGGGTATCCACGGATATCCGCAGATTTTAAAATATCCGCGGGTATTTTTTAAGCGGATATCCGTACGGATAGTGGATGGATTTTTTTGTCGAGTCGAGTTACGGGTAGGCACTATCCGTGCTGGACCCGACCCGTTGCTATCCCTATATATATGTTTCAAGCCCAAAGAATATGATGGATATTAATGTGTAATCTTAGTAAAAAATTTAGTTCGTATTTGTATACCTAGTAAAATAATTATAATTAAAATAATTATCCATAAAACAGAACCTACTGCTAATATATTCTAATCAATTTGAGGTTAAGAGAAGAGTATTTTATAACACAAGCAAAAAAAATAGTAATGTAATACAAAAGAAGACTATTTAGTATATATAAAAAAAAATAATTAGGATAAGTAATTCTGACCTTTTCGTGAAATAACCTTTCGACAGTTGTGTTGAGATCGACGTGGAAAGTGAAATCAGAATCTTCAGATGTTTGAATCCCCAAAAACATTGCTAGTTTTATAACTCCTTCAGAGAAAGTCGTCATATTGGGACATTCAGCTACGATCACATTTTGTAAACAAGGGCATTGAAAGGTAGCATTTCCTGAATAAAAGCTTATTAGCCTCGGTAAGTATTCCAGGTTAATTGATGTGAGTCGTCCAAATATAATCTCATCACAACCATCTTCCTCTTCAGTTCTTGCAATTTCTTTGATTGATTCACAGTTCTTTATGGTTAGAGTCTCAAGTTTCACCAAACTTTTAAGTGTTGCAAACGTGAATAAACACTCCATTCTTTCGCAGTAAGTCACACATAAATATTTAAGATTGATGAATGACACCGCACAATAAGCTATTCTTTCAACTAGAGGGCACTTGTAAAGCTGTAACAGTTCGAGTTTTCTGGAGTATGGTTGTACCCACATGTTCTCTAAACCTATACACTCTAAGTCCTTTAATTGCAACAAAATTAATACTTCCAATCCAGCAAGTACTTTGTCGTGAACTTGAAGCTTTTGAGAGGGAAATATCTCCTTCAGACCAAAGCCATTATCTACCATAAGATGTTTTAAATTGGGTAGCTTGTGAAATAACTCAAAAGGCAAACTATCTTTCTCATTGTAATCATCCTCAAAGCACAAGCAAAGTCGACTTAGGTTGCAAAGAAGGTTTTGTGGCAAATTTTCTTCTCTAAATAACATAATGTTTTCCTCATCGAGTGCCAAGTCCGTCAGTTTGGGAGAAACCTAACAATTAAGGCCAATCAAATTTAAAAGAAATTGTAGTTGTAGTTAGTTAAAAGCTATATAAGGAAAAATGAAAAGACAAGGAAGCTAAAAAAAGGTCTAAATGCTCATGCTTTCGTTACCTTTTCAACTAAGAACAAAGCTTGTTGTAGCGATCTGATTGGGGCCTCCATATCTCCTTTTTTAGAGTCTGATGTGAATAGTTTCAGTTTAGGACAACCGGCCACATACAAGACTTTTAATAAGGGACATTCTAGTTGATGCTTTCCAGGATAAAAGCAACTTAACAGTGTCATATTCAAAATTTTTAGTTGGGCTAAACAAGGAAATTCAAACATTATTGTCGTTTCATGTTCCGTTCCATCTTCCTTTCCAACTATTGCTACCAATTTCTCACACCTCCATATTATAAGATTCTTAAGCTTCTTAAAATTTCTAGCAAGGGATGAAGGGAACAGTGTTACCAAGCCTTCACAATCAGTAACAACAACCGTATTCAAATTGGGAAAACTTACAATTCCTTTCCGGTTTTCCTTCCATACACATTTTAAATTTGACAATTGTTGTAAAGTAAGGTTTTTCAAACGAAACACCATTCCATACGTCTGGATCTTACTCTCATCTATGTCAAATATTAGTTGTGCTGATTCGCATTTCTCCACATTCAATTCTTCTAGGTTCTTCAAGTATGGTAGTACATGAGAGGGAATCAAAGTATCTTTTTTATATGCTTCATCAAATTCCAATTTCTTCAAACAACCAAAGAAATTGTCCGGAAAAGCAAATTTACCACGTCGATCTTTCCTCTCGGGATAATCAACAAGATTTATATCCTTTGAATATTCAAAAGAAACCTTAAAAAGAGAAGAAACTAAATGTCAGATGTGCATGACAATCAATGATTAATGACTATATAAAAAGTCTTTATACTAATTCTTATGGTACATGTGACCCGCACTTTAGTTCATTATATAATTGGTTATAAAACATATTTGGAAAAATGAAAAAAGTGGAAATTGTTTCAAATAATTCAAAGAGTATGATAATACAATCCATAAACCTTGACCTATGATAACACAATGTCCATGCTTCATATTATTTATATTTTGCAAAATAATTGAATTATTAGTTATGAACATTTTCAAAAAAATTAACATTAAATTATCTATGGAGATATGATGCAATGAAAATTTGTGATGATCAACATACTTTAATGCATACCTGGTTTGTGAGATGTGTTTGTAGAGTGGCATTCAAATCACCTTCCCAATACCATTTGTCTTTTTCTCCTGCTTCAATATGTACTTTTTGTAGCTTTGGAGCACTTTGGACTTCAGATAATTTTTTCATTTGAGGGCATTCACTTACTACTAATTTTTCTAGTAGTGGGAATTTTAAGTCACACTTCTCAACATTAGAGAAACTTGTGAGATTTTGTAGAGACACCAATTCTAATGATTTTAATTGTTTAAACTCAACCTCTTGTACTTTTTCCTCTTCATTTTCTGCAACAATTTCCACAATTAATGGACATGAACTTACCTTCATCGTTGTGAGTTGATTTAAGGTTTTAGCAGTTGAGAGTGTCATTAAATTCCTCATCATACAGTTCACCACTTCTAAGGATGTTAAGTAACTAAAAGATACCGAGGATGATGCTAGATTTCTCAATTTTTTGCATCCACTGATGATTAAGCGTTCTACCCTTTGAAGAAGCACATCATGCTCAAAACCAATCTCCTCTAGAAACCACATGCTACGTAATTTTAACTCTTTAAGTTGCATAACACCACCTATTTTTTCAGGTGAACTAAGACTTTCACGAGTAGAAATTCTTTTCATGTGACAAAGTCCCAATGTTAAACTTTTCAAATTGGGAAGTCTGTGAAGAAACCAAAAGAGAACTTCATTATTCTTCAACCGGTACAAATTAACTTCTTCTAGTTTGTGCATTCTGTGAACATTAACAATGTATTTTTGCAACCACTCTGCTTCCTTCAAGCTCACCGACATGTATTCCAAATTATATATTGCCTAAATAAATTAATAAAAAGACTTATTGTTAGTATTAAAGCATACTAGTTGAATCATAATTTATTATTTTGATTTAAGAAATAAAAGGCGTAATCTCACATCCTTCTTAAAGGTTGAGGATTCACGCTTTTCATAAAAAACAGGACATATTCTATATTTCCAAGAACAAGCTTCAAAAAAGAACTTCTGATTTGTATCTGAACGAACTTTATGTACCTTTTTTGTTGCTAAAACAATTGGTTGTTCTGATGAATTTGTGATTTCTGAAGTCAATCCTTTGAGCATGCTACAGTCGACTATTTTCAATTTCTTTAATGGTGGCCACTCTAAAGTATGAATTCCTGAGTAGAAACTCCTCAATTCATGCAAGTCTATTAATGATAGAGTGTTTAGATGAGGAAATTTAAAGGTGATAGCAGTTGCACTTGAATGTTTGTCCAAAGCAATAATCTCTGTCATTGCCCAACAATCCCATATCTCAAGGACTTCTAGTTTTTGTAGGTCATTGGCAATAGAAACTGGAAAGAGATATTTCAATTTTGGACTCACATCAACTCTTATGCTTTGCAAATTATTACATTTGAGTATTTCACCAGTGTCACCCTTCCATACGTTCACCAAATTTGGCAGGTTTTCTAGAAATATATTACCCAAATTTGCTTCAATAATATCACAAGTGTGCGGAATATTTGCAAAATCAAATATGTTTTCAACCAATTTGCAATCTTTAACTGTCAAGCTTTGAAGGCTTTGCAATCTTTGCCCCATATAATTAGGAAAAATTGTAACAAGTTTATGGCACTCTCTTATCATCAAAGAGTTCAAATTACTAAAGGAATGTAAACCAATATCAGATTTCCAAATTGTACAGAGTTTCTCCATGCAGATAATCTCCATTTTCTTCAACTTAGGAAAAACATCAATATACTGTTACAATAAAAAATACTTTATAGGTGAGCAATTAAAAGACCTGATTACTTAATATATCAAACAACAAAGGATAACATTAATCAAACTCAATATTAAATGAATCCACACACCTCTGCATCTTCCGGACGGAATATATCTTCCATCATTTCACATCCACTTACAAAAATGCTTTCAAGATTCACCAAACTTTCAGCAATAGAGAATGATAGTAAATACTTTAAATTACCGCAATCGGTCACATTCAATGTGAGCAAATTTTCAAAACAATGGTCATATTGGTCACTCCATATCTTTTGGATGTTGATTGAGGATAACTCCAAAGATTCTAATTTGGGGATTGAAACCTGTAAGAGCACATAAAATGTCATAACAAGAAGATTTCATTTCAAACGATATGTTTTTCCCAGTAGAAATGTTAAATTATGATGCAACTTCTATAAAGTTAAAAAAAAAACTAAAATTAGGTGAAGTTCTAAGAAATTCTAGATCATTGTGAAGAAACAATCTCATGCCTATATATGTGGTGAAATTTTTCAATATGCTCAAGTAACTTTATAAAACATAATAAAGTTTAGTTCCATAAAATCACAAAATATTATGAAGCATGAACATTATGTCGTTTTGTACATATTTAAGTAATTTATTCTTATTTTCATTAGGTAACGGTTTAATGGATTGTATTATCAAGTTGGATTTGATTTCCAAATGTCTGATTATAATAATTTATCATATTTATATACTCTTCGAATTATTTGAAACAATTTCCACTTTTTTCATTTTTCCTAAATTTGGTTTTATAACAAATTTATAAATGAACTAAAGTGCGGGTCACATATACCATAAGAATTAGTATAAAAGACTTTTTATATATTTATTCATCATTGATTGTCATGTACATCTGACATTAGTTTCTTCTCTTTTTAAGGTTTCTTTGAATATTCAAAGGATATAAACTTGTTGATTATCCCGAGAGGAAAGATCGACGTGGTAAATTTGCTTTTCCGGACAATTTCTTTGGTTGTTTGAAGAAATTGGAATTTGGTGAAGCATGTAAAAGAAATACATTGATTCCCTCTCATGTATACCTTACTTGAAGAATAGAAGAATTGAATGTGGAGAAATTGACGAATCAGCACAACGAATATTTGACATAGAGAGAGTGAAATCCAGACGTATGGAATGGGTGTTTCGTTTGAAACACCTATTTAAAACAACTTGTCAAATTTAAATGTGTATGGAAGGAAAATCTCCAAGGAATATTCAGCTTTTCCAATTTGAAAAGAGTGGATGTTATGGGTTGGAAGCCTAGTAGAACATTGTTCCCTTATCATCGCCAAAAATCTTGGGAGTGGAGACACTTTATATAAAGGAATGTGAGAAATGGTAGAAATAGTTGGAAAAGGAAAGATGAATAATGGAGTATGGGAATGACATTAATGTTAGAATTTCCTCGTTTAACCATTGGTTACGTCTTTGGAATAGCCACTGTTGAGTTGCTTTTCACCCTGGAAAGCATCATCTAGAATGTCCCTGTAAATAAATTACATGTGAAATGTTGTCCTATGCTGAAGCTATTCAGATCAAGCTTTGATGATGATAGTAAAAGAGAAGTTTTAGAGGCTCCAAATAAGCTTGCTACGACAACCTTTGTTTTCGATTCAAAAGGTAAAAAACATTCAAAATTTAAATCCTTTTGTGCTTCCTTTTTTTCGTTGTATATTTTTCTCTTAATAGTATCTAACTAACATCAACATATTTTTTTGAATTTTTTTGACTTCAATTGTAAGGTTCTCGCAAACTGGAGGAACTGACACTCAATGAGGAAAACATTAAGCTAATGAGTATGACGTTTGCCACAAGACCTTCTTGTAAATTAAAATATCTTCAAACTATTCTTGAGAAGGATGATAAACAATGGGAAAAATAGTTTGCCTTTGATTTCTTTCACAAGCTACCCAATTTAGAATGGTTACAGTACAGAAATTGCTTGGTCTGAAGGAGATATTTCCTCTCCAAAAGCTTCAAGTTCGCGACAAAGTACTTGCTGGATTGAAACGATTATTATTTGGCTCGAATTAAAGGAGTTAGAGTGTATAAGTTAGAGCAACACGTGGGGTACAACCATACACTGAAAAACTTGAAGTCTTATATCTTTACAAGTGCCCTCTGGTAGAAAGAATAGTTTCTTGCGCTGTGTCAATTATCAACTTAAAATATGTATTGTGTGATGCACTGCGAAAATGGAGTATTTATTCACATTTTGGTACACTCAAAAATTTGATGAAACTTGAGATCTTAATCATAGATAATTGTGGATCAATCAAGGAAATTGAAGAAATGAAGAGGAAGATGGTTGTGATGAGTATAATATTTGGACGACTCAGATTCAATTGAGCTGAAAACACTTACCGAAGCTAATAAGCTTTTATTCAGGAAATGCCACCTTGCAATGCCCATGTTTAAAAAATGTGATGGTAACTAATGTCCCAATATGATAACTTTCTCTGAAGGAGTCATAAAACTAGCAATGTTTTCGGGAATTCAAACATCTGCAGATTCTGATTTCACTTTCGACGTCGATCTCAACACAATGTCGAAAGCTTATTGTCATTGGGTAAGAATTACTTATCCTACTTAATTTTTTTATATATACTAATAGTCTTCTTTTTTTTTTTTTACATTACTTCTTTTTCTTGTGTTAAAATACTCTTTCTTCTTAATTAACCTCAAATCAATTATAAGATATTATATTATTTAGCAATAGGTTTTGTTTGAAGGATAACTATTTTAAAACAATTATTTTACTAGGTACACAAATATGAATTAAATGTTTTACTAACATTACTCATTAATATCCATCATATCTTTTCTCACTTTCCACGTCGATATCAACACAACTGTCCAAAGCTTATTTCATGAAAAGGTGAGAATTACGTTATCCTAATTAAATTTTTGTATGTAAACTAAATAATCTTCTTTGTATTACATTACTACTTTTTTCTCCGTGTTATAAAATACTCTTCTCTTAACCTTAAATCAATTAGAATATATTATATTATTTAGTAGTAGGTTTTGTTTGATGGATAATTATTTAGAAAATTATAATTATAACTCTATAAACATCAATATTCATAAAATTGAAGCGTAAAGGACTAATATATAAGATAAAAAATTATAAATTAAATGACAGTTTTAAAATTCAATATCAACTTTTTAACATTGGTTGTCATGGAACCGAAATAGAAAGTCATATATGGCATAAGTTATTTCACCAACCGAGACCATATGTTCTATTAAAAAACTCGAATAAAAGAGATGTATCTAATTTTGGCCGAATTGTAACCGTCCTTGTACGAGTTGTATCTACCTTAGTCGAGCTGTATCCGACTTGATGGAGCTATATTTGATCTTGGTCGAACTGTATCAAACTCATCCTTACCTTATCTAGATATCCCAGAGTGATAATTTTAAAATTTTAATCAACCTTTTGACCATGATTGTTCATAGAACTAAAGTAGAAAGTTTATTTTCCAACGGTTATGAAAGAATCGAGCCCATATCTCCTCTTTAGAAAAAAAAATTTGAAAATTTTGGTATACTTTTTGGCCTCCTAAAGGTAAATCTGAGTGATATTAAACTAAATACGAAGCGTATGAAACATGTTAATTATATAAAACCTGATATTGAATTTCTTGCTTTTTTAGGAGTTTTTCAACTATTCAAAGCACATGATTCTGATGATTTATCTTGAGATGACGGGTGTTCAACACATAAAACCTGCTATTCAGACAATTTCTTTGTAGTTTCAAGGAATTAGAATTGATGCAGCATGCAAAAGAGCTAATCGTAATTCCAATTCATGTACTCCCTGAAGAACTTAGAAAAGTGAATGTGCATAGTTCTGATGCAGTCGAGGTAATATTTGACATTGATGAGAGTGAGGACAAGACAAAGGGAATAGTCTCTAGTGTTGAAAAAACTTACTTTAAAACAACTTGTCAAACTTTGAAAACATGTATGGAAGGAAAATTCCACAGGAATTACAGCTTTCATAATTGCAAGAAGTGGTTGTTAATGGTTGTGGAAGTTTGATAGCATTGTTCTCTTCATCCTAGCAAGAAATCTCGGAAACTTAAGAAGCTTGAAAATAATCGATTGGGAAAACTGTTAGAAATAGCTGAAAAGGAAGATGGAATGGAACATGGAACCAAAATAATGTTTGAACTCCCTTGTTTGTCTTCGCTATTTCTTTGTAAACATGCCACTCTTGAGTTGCTTTTATCCTGGAAAGCATGATCTGATTGTCGTTATTAGAAGATTATGTTGTGTGTTATTGTCCTAAATTGAAGCTATTCACATCAGACTTTGATGAAAATCAGAAAGGAGCTATAGGGGCTCAAATTTAGCCCACTGCAACAACCTATGTTTTCAGTTGAAAAGGTAGCGAAGCATCAACATTTACACTTTTTTGAGTTTCCTTTTCTTTCCATTTTCCTTTTAATGCTTTTACTTACAACACATGCACGTTTTCTTTTGAATTTGTTTGTCATTAATTGTTTAGGTTTCTCCCAACATAAAGCATTTGGCACTCAATGAAGAAAACATTATGTTATTTAGAGAAGTACAGTTGCTACAACACATTCTTTTGCATATAGTCTTTCTTTTTTTGTGCTTTGAGGATTTTAACACGAGAAAGATAGTTTGCCTTTTGACTTCTTCACAAGATACCCAATTTAGTATGCTGGAATACAAAGTTTCTTTGTTTGAAGGAGATATTTCCTCTGAAAAACTCAAGTTCACGATGGAGGACTTGCGGGATTGAAACAATTATTCTTGATAGATCTAAAGAGTTAGAGTTGGTGGCTTAGGAACACCCTTGGGTTAAAAACGTACTCTGAAAGCTTGCGAGTTAAGGCTTGAGAAGTGCCCTCAGTACAAAAATAGTTCATTGTGCAGTGTCTTCATCAATCTAAAGAACTGCGAGTGGAACTCTGTGAAAGGATGGAGTATTTATTCACATTTGCAACAGTTCAAAGTTTGGTGATGAAACTTGAGACCCTAATAAAAATAGTTGTGAGTCAATCAAAGAAATTATTAAAGATGAAAATGAAGATGGTTGTGCTGAGATGGTATTTGGACGACTCAAAATCAATCGAGCTGAAATCCTGCCAAGACTTGTAAGGTTTTATCAGGGAAGGCCACTCTGCAATGCTCGTATTTAAAAATCGTCATGGTAGTAATGTCCAAGTATGATAACTTTTTTGAAGGAGTCATCAAAGTGCCAATGCTTTCAGGAATTCAAAATCTAAGGATTCTGATTTACCTTCATGACGATCTCAATACAACTATCGAGATTGTTTCACCAAGAGTAAGAATCATTCTCTCAATTCAATTATTACCGCCAGCTGAAAAATTATGCTATGCATTCATTTTATCATTAAATAAATAAGTGAAAATTTTCTTTTAATAAGAAAATGCAGGCGGCCTCCTAATACATTTATATGTTAGAGTCTTCAAATAAACACTACATATCGATTCTAAAACTGTAAATGTTAATAACTTATATAACATATAGAAGTTGTTACATAACATTCAATTATAAACTGTCAGGCGACTTAATAACTCACTCAGATAAATTAAAGTTAATTAGCTTCGAAATTACCCACTCTTAATATAAAAATATAACTAATTTGATGAATTAGTTTGACTAAGATGCCTTTGACAGTAAAAATATTAAAAGTTAATTAGTTTTAGGTTATAGTAAATTT